GGCGTAAATCGCAAAATAAATTTATTATGTAAATTTTGAACATGTATTCTAATTTTTAAGTCAACCGGGGAACTGGAAATGAAAACTGATCATGTGTAAGACCATAAATCAAAAGTCAATTTTCGAACCGATTTATGCTCAAGCCGATTTATGTCCAACTCTAGCTCATGCTGGTTTTCAGGTCTCGAAAATACAAGCTATGGCCTAGAAATTTTAAATTCACCAAATAATGGAAGGGGGGGGGTTATCAAATCTCAGCGTATTTTGCCAAATAACGAGCTGGGAGGACCTTGACCTCACTTTTCAATATCACTGTGCTGAAGGCAATGACATACGGATGTGAAACGTGACCACTAAAGTAGAGGAGCAAAAATGGCTATATAAAAGAAACAGTCACAGAGTGAATGGTGCTTGAAGTGCTTTTTCTTGTGATCATATAAACAATTAGACTCTTCATGAAATGAGCGGATATTCACCTACATGTCAAAAGGCTTTCACCACAATGTCTTGGCAAATATCTTCCCCGCTATTATTCACTAAATTCTATCCTTTTTGCCTTAAATTACACCGAATTCAGCCACGCTGAATCCCCTTTCGTTAGCATGATCCACTACTTCACAAGGTAAGTTTTGGCCTACTTACCGTCGCAAAATACCACTTTACAGCTCCGATCTTCTCGTCAACCCAACTCGGCACAATTAATTTCGGCTGAGGTTCTATCGTCCTTGCCTTTTATTCTATTCCCTTACAAATTTTTTGGAAACCAAATCTCGCTCTACAAACTTTGCTTCTGTTGTCTATTATTTTAGTGTCCGTGAGTGATAATTCTGACCTACTTTGACCTATTTTTGACCTACTCTTGACCTACTTTTGACCTATATTTGGCCTACTTTTGACCTACTTTGACCTACTGAATAATACGAAAGAAAATAATAAAGCCTTACGAAAATTCGTATCCAAAAACCCACGTTAATTCAGCTCCAAAACAAAGAAAAACGACAAACTGTGTTAGAAAACAGCTAACAATATCATTATGCTTCCGCAGAGTGCCAATCTCCTTCTGTGTCTTGGACAATTCTTCCACTTTCGAGGCCAGCGTGGCTTTCTCTTCTTCGGTAGCTAGAACACGCTCCATCAGGGCTTTGACCAGTTCTTCGCCTTGCAAACATCGACTGAGACTTTCCAATTCGCTTCGCACTTCTGCAAGAAAATTCATCAGAAAAAAAAAAAACGCAAAAAGTGAAGCAAAAAAA